CATTAAATGAAGAAAAAAATTTTTTTTTTCACACACAAAAAAAAAGAAAATGATTTTTTATTTTTTATATATATATTTTTTTTCATTTTTCCTTTTTTTTTCCTTTTAAACGACTAAAATTAAGTCTGTTCAATCGAAAAAGGAAAAATAATGGCGGGAGAGTTGAAAAAAAGCATTTTCCTGGCGAGTTTTCATCGCTTTAAGTAACAAAAGAAATATTTATAAGTTTTCCTTTTTTTTTTTATTTTGGAAAAAAAAAATGGTAAAGAGGAGAAGAATAAAAGAGAAAAAAAATTGTAGAAAATTCGTTGGGAAGGTATAAAAGGAAGGATGAGGAGGAGAGGGAGGGGAAGGCGAGTCGGAGAAACGAAAAGGTTTTCAAATCTGATAAAAGAAGAAGAAAAAAAAATTTTTTTTTTTCCCCTCCAAAAGCTAAAACATGAAGTGGCCATTAGCCTTTAGTTACTACATTTAAAAGTGTAGTCGAACAAAAAAAAAAAGAAAAAAAAAATTTATCGTTTTGTAATTCCGTTGAAATTGCAACTCGAAAAAAAAATTTTTCTTTTTTTTTTTCTTCTTCTGCTTTTTCATCTTCTTTTTCCAATTTTTTCTTTCCTTATACAAACGCACACGCACACGCACACTCCCGGTTTTCACTTCCGGTCGGTTATTTTTTTTTTTATCCGATCCGCCTTCTCAATTTTTCTCTCTTTTCCCTTCTCTCACTTTCGCGGTTTTAGCTGTAGGGATACAAACTAAATTTAAATTTACAAAAAAAAAATAAATAAATAAAGTTTTTCACGTTGTTTTGCGGTTGTAGCTCTTCGCTGGTTGTTGTTGTTGTTGTTTGTTTTGTTATTTTCATTAAAAAAAAAAAAAATTGTCAATGTGTTGTCATTTTGTTAATAATAAATTTTTTTTTTCTCTTTCTCTCTCTTTTTTTTTTTTTTTTGTTTGTCGAAATCGAAACAATTTTTAAATTGATTACGTCATATAAATAACGTCATCATCACCTTCATCGTCGTTATTATTATTAATATCGTTATTAAAATAATGTTTAACTTACTGCCACGTTTTTTTTTTCTTAAACCATCAATTGTAGTCATTACTATTCAAAAAAAAAATTTCAATTTTATTTTATTATCATTATCATTATCATCGTCATCA